CAGACGTGTGCTCTTCCGATCTTGACTTAAACATTGAAAATTTTGCAAAGTGAACGAATTTACGAAGTTGCAAATCTTTTCTTGCCACTCAAATTACAATAGACTGAAATTTTTTAATAAACATTTTATAGCTTAAAGTCTACTTTTTATCGATCGTACTGATCTCTTACGGAGCATTACGAATACAAATAAAGATGCGACAAAATTTGTTACGAATTTTGCAAGATTCCTCGATGCGAATTAAAAATCGCACATAAATGCAGTTTACAACATTCGAAAGAGTGAATCTTTACCTTTAATTTGCGTGCTCGTTGAGCATTTTGCGATTTTTTTTCACCGAGTTATTCAATGTTGAAGCATAAGATCATTTTTACTTCAATGTTGAATAATTCGATTAAAAAAAATCGCACAATGCTCGCTGACTGCTCAAATTAAAGCTAAAGATTCACGCTTTCGAAAACTGTAAGCCTCCTTTATGTGCGAAATTTAATTCAGTTCATGGAACCTTGCAAAGTTTGGGGGAGATTTTGAGATTTGACGAATTTTTTTTGCGAATTTTGCAAAATTCCAGAAAGTAAAATAAAAATCGCACGCAAATGAGGTTTACATCGTTCGAAAGCGTAAATCTTTAGCTTTAATTTCAGCACCCGATCAGCAACGTCCGATTTTTTTTCACCGAGTTATTCAACATTGAAGCAAAAATGATCATTTTTACTTCAATGTTGAATAACTCGATGAAAAAAAAACACACATTGCTGATCGGGTGCTGAAATTAAAGCTACAGACTTAGGCTTTCGTACGATGTGAACCTCATTTGCGTGCGATTTTTAGTTTAGTTTTTGGAACTTCGCAAACTTGGTAAAAAATTTTAAGATTTGATGCATCTCCATTTGCATCCGTGCAACTTTGTAAAGAATCAGTAAGTAATTTAATGAATTATGGGTGTCGAAAGTAGAGACTTTAAGCTTTAAAATGCTTTTTTGATCATTCCGATACGATCATTTTTGACGAAGTTACACTCTCTTGAAATTTGCCTAA